GAGTATGTCCATTACATAAAATTGAAATAAAAATCTATTTAAATTGCAGGTTGTAATGCAAAAAAATAGGAAAAAACGCCAAGGGGGATGAATACTTTTACAAGGCACTGTATGTACAAATGAATGTGATATTTGAGGCGCTCTCTCCCCAGTTCCTAGTACAATGTAGGTTACACACATTTACAGTGTTTGATATGGGGGATGGAGACGTTCATTTAGACATTACAAACAATAACTTTTATAAACAATGGCAACACTTCCAGTGTTGCACTGAGCCTCGCCTGTCGGACAGACTTTAGGCTGTAGCAGATGCACCTCCCCGGACTCAATTTCTCGACGATCCGTCTGCAGTCGGTGGCTTCAGCCTTACCACTCAAACAAGCCCATTGTCTGTCCTGGGGGAGAGGACAGAGCACTGCTGGGCATGGTGTTGGCTCTGTCTGGACTGTCTGCTGCCCTTCGACTTCAGACTGTGGGCAGAGGACGAGTCTGGAGGAGAGGTGAGAGGAGGAGAGTAGAGTGTTATTGTTGTTAAGCTCTGTCAGTCGAAGTTCAGTCTACATGTTGCAGGTGTGTTTTTGCAATGTGAGGACAGACGGCGCTGACTTGATTCTTCCCCTCCTACGGAAACCCTCCTGAACCAGGAACAGTGGAGTACACACACACACACACACGCCCACACACACACACGCCCTGAGGTCCACATAGAGTAGGTCTATTTCCATTGTCAATCACAAGAGATCTGTCCCAAAGCTAGCGCCACATAGAGTAGGTCTCTTTCCATTGTCAATCACAAGAGATCTGTCCCAAAGCTAGCGCCACATAGAGTAGGTCTATTTCCATTGTCAATCACGAGAGATCTGTCCCAAAGCTAGGTCCACATAGAGTAGGTCTATTTCCATTGTCAATCACAAGAGATCTGTCCCAAAGCTAGCACCACATAGAGTAAGTCTATCTTTCTATGTAGACAGAAGGATCATGATGATAACCATATGTAGTCTGACTGGAGGAACTCTCCTCAGAGTCCCATTAGAAAGACATTAACCCTACGCTTCATTACTACAACCACACGGCCTGAGCAGGCTCCAGCTAACGTAAAACTACAGCGCATTAACACACTCACTGGGGAACCACTGTGTAGTGCTGTAGAGACCCTTTGAGAATGAGCCATAGCTGTAATGTACTGTACTGTAGACACGTAGGAGAGGACTGTACTGTACTGTAGAGAGGACCAGACTGTACTGTAGAGAGGACCAGACTGTACTGTAGAGAGGACCAGACTGTACTGTACTGTAGAGAGGACCAGACTGTACTGTACTGTAGAGAGGACCAGACTGTACTGTACTGTAGAGAGGACCAGACTGTACTGTAGAGAGGACCAGACTGTACTGTAGAGAGGACCAGACTGTACTGTACTGTAGAGAGGACCAGACTGTACTGTAGAGAGGACCAGACTGTACTGTAGAGAGGACCAGACTGTACTGTACTGTAGAGAGGACCAGACTGTAAATGTACTGTAGAGAGGACCAGACTGTATGTAGAGAGGACCAGACTGTACTGTACTGTAGAGAGGACCACTGCACTGTAGAGAGGACCAGACTGTACTGTAGAGGGACCAACTGTACTGTACTGTAGAGAGGACAGACGTACTGTAGGAGGACCAGACTGTACTGTAGAGAGGACCGACTGTACTGTACTGTAGAGGGACCAGATGTACTGTAGAGGACCAGACTGTACTTACTGTAGAGAGGACAAGACGTACTGTACTGTAGAGGGACCAGACTGTAACTGTACTGTAGAGAGAACCAGACTGTACTGTAGAGAGGACCAGACGTCGTAGAGAGGACCACCTGTAGTGAGAGGACCAGACTGTACTGTAATGTAGAGAGGACAGACTGTATGTAGAAGGACCAGACTGTACTGTAGAGAGGACCAACTGTACTGTACTGTAGAGAGGACCAGACTGTCTGTACTGTAGAGAGGACCAGACTGTACTGTACTGTAGAGAGGAAACCCGACTGTACTGACTGTAAGAGGACCAGACTGTACTGATGTAGAGAGACCAGACTGTACTGTATGTAGAGGGACCGACTGTACTGGGACTGTAGAGATGACCAGACTGTACTGTAGAGAGGACAGACGTACTGTATGTAGAAGGACCCAGACTGTACTGTAGAGAGAACCAGACTGTACTGTAGAGAGGACCAACTGTACTGTACTGTAGAGAGGACCAGACTGTACTGTACTGTAGAGAGGACCAGACTGTACGTAGAGAGGACCACACTGTACTGTAGAGAGGACCAGACTGTACTGTATGTAGAGAGGACCAGACTGGTACTGTAGAGAGGACCAGACTGTAAATGTAGAGAGGACCAGACTGTACTGTACTGTAGAGAGGACCAGACTGTACTGTACTGTAGAGAGGACCAGACTGTACTGTACTGTAGAGAGGACCAGACTGTACTGTACTGTAGAGAGGACCAGACTGTACTGTAGAGAGGACCAGACTGTACTGTACTGTAGAGAGGACCAGACTGTACTGTACTGTAGAGAGGACCAGACTGTACTGTAGAGAGGACCAGACTGTACTGTACTGTAGAGAGGACCAGACTGTACTGAGAGGACCAACTGTACTGTAGAGAGGACCAGACTTACTGTACTGTAGAGAGGACAAGACTTGTAAGCTGTACTGTCGAGAGGACCAGACTGTACTGTAGAGAGAGACCAGACTGTACTGTAGAGAGGACCAGACTGTACTGTACTGTAGAGAGGACCAGACTGTACTGTACTGTAGAGAGGACCAGACTGTACTGTACTGTAGAGAGGACCAGACTGTACTGTACTGTAGAGAGAACCAGACTGTACTGTACTGTAGAGAGACCAGACTGTACTGTAGAGAGGACCAGACTGTACTGTAGAGAGGACCAGACTGTACTGTAGAGAGGACCAGACTGTACTGTACTGTAGAGAGGACCAGACTGTACTGTAGAGAGGACCAGACTGTACTGTACTGTAGAGAGGACCAGACTGTACTGTACTGTAGAGAGGACCAGACGTCTGTACTGTAGAGAGGACCAGACTGTACTGTACTGTAGAGGGACCAGACTGTACTGTACTGTAGAGAGGACCGACTGTACTGTACTGTAGAGAGGACAGACTGTACTGTACTGTAGAGAGGACCAGACTGTAAAAATGTACTGTAGAGAGGACAAGACTGTACTGTACTGTAGAGAACCAGACTGTACTGTACTGTAGAGAGGACCAAGTACTGTACTGTACTGTAGAGAGGGCCAGACTGTACTGTACTGTAGAGAGGACAACTGTACTGTACTGAGAGAGACCAGACTGTACTGTACTGTAGAGAGGACCAGACTGTACTGTAGAGAGGACCACGACTGTACTGTAGAGGACCAGACTGTACTGTACTGTAGAGAGGACCAGACTGTACTGTACTGTAGAGAGGACCAGACTGTACTGTACTGTAGAGAGGACCAGACTGTACTGTACTGTAGAGAGGACCAGACTGTACTGTAGAGAGGACCAGACTGTACTGTAGAGAGGACCAGACTGGACTGTACTGTAGAGAGGACCAGACTGTACTGTACTGTAGAGAGGACCAGACTGTACGTACTGTAGAGAGGACCAGACTGTACTGTAGAGAGACCAGACTGTACTGTACTGTAGAGAGGACCAGACTACTGTACTGTAGAGAGGACCAGACTGTACTGTACTGTAGAGGACCAGACTGTACTGTAGAGAGGACCAGACTGTACTGTACTGTAGAGAGGACCAGACTGTACTGTAGAGAGGACCAGACTGTACTGTACTGTAGAGAGGACCAGACTGTACTGTACTGTAGAGAGGACCAGACTGTACTGTACTGTAGAGAGGACCAGACTGTACTGTAGAGAGGACCAGACTGTACTGTAGAGAGGACCAGACTGTACTGTACTGTAGAGAGGACCAGACTGTACTGTACTGTAGAGAGGACCAGACTGTACTGTAGAGAGGACCAGACTGTACTGTACTGTAGAGAGGACCAGACTGTACTGTACTGTAGAGAGGACCAGACTGTAAAAATGTACTGTAGAGAGGACCAGACTGTACTGTACTGTAGAAGGACCCGACTGTACTGTAGAGAGGACCAGCTGTACTGTACTGTAGAGAGGACCAGACTGTACTGTACGTAAAAGGACCAGACTGTACTGTACTGTAGAGAGGACCAGACTGTTCTGTAGAGAGGACCAGACTGTACTGTACTGTAGAGAGGACCAGACTGTACTGTAGCTGAGTATAGAGGAACCAGACTGTACTGTACTGTAGAGAGGACCAGACTGTACTGTAGAGAGGACCAGACTGTACTGTCTAGAGAGACCAACTGTACTGTACTGTAGAGAGGACCAACTGTACTGTACTGTAGAGAGGACCAGACTAACTGTACTGTAGAGAGGACCAGACTGTACTGTCTGTAGAGAGGACCAGACTGTAAAAAACTGTACTGTAGAGAGGACCAGACTGTTTTCTGTAGAGAGGACCAGACTGTACTGTAACTGTAGAGATGGACCAACTGTACTGTACTGTAGAGAGGACCAGACTTACGTACTGTAGAGAGGACCAGACGTACTGTACTGTAGAGAGGACCAGACTGTACTGTACTGTAGAGAGGACCAGACTGTACTGTAGAGAGGACCAGACTGTACTGTACTGTAGAGAGGACCAGACTGTACTGTACTGTAGAGAGGACCAGACTGTACTGTACTGTAGAGAGGACCAGACTGTACTGTACTGTAGAGAGGACCAGACTGTACTGTAGAGAGGACCAGACTGTACTGTAGAGAGGACCAGACTGTACTGTAGAGAGGACCAGACTGTACTTACTGTAGAGAGGACCACGTACTGTACTGTAGAGAGGACCAGACTGTACTGTACTGTAGAGAGGACCAGACTGCGTCTGTAAGAGGACCAGACTGTACTGTAGAGAGGACCAGGACGTACTTACTGTGAGAGGACCCGACTGCACTGTACTGGTAGAGGACACGTAGGCGGACTGGACGGACTACACCTGTCCCAGTGGAGAAGGAGGTGACTCCCAGCTGGGCCTGTCTCCTCAGCAGCACCTCCTCTCTCTCCAGGGCTAACATATACTTAGAGTAGGACCAAGACAACTGTTATAGAAGAGACAGAGAGTAGGACCAAGGACAACGTTACGAAGAGGACAGAGAGTAGACCAAGAAACTGTTATAGGAAGAGACAGAGAGAGGACCAAGACAAACTGTATAGAAGAGACAGAGAGTAGGACAAGACAAATGTTATAGAAGAGACCAGAGTAGGACCAAAGACAACTGTTATAGAAGATGACAGAGAGTAGGACCAAGACAACTGTTATCGAGAGACAGCAGAGTTGGGACCAAGGACAATGCTATGTTTATAGAAGAGCCAGAGAGTGAGGACCAAACAAACGTTATAGAAGAGACAGAGTGATAGTAGGACCCAAGACAATGTTATAGAAGAGCCGAGAGTAGGACCAGGACAATGTTATAGAAGAGGACAGAGCGTAGGACCAAGACAACTGTTATAGAAGAGAACGAGAGTAAGACCAAGACAACTGTTATAGAAGAGACAGAGATGAGGACCCAGACCCACTGTTATAGAAGAGACAGAGTAGGGACCACGACAATTGTAGAGAAAGACCGAGTTATAGTAGGACCAAGACCAATGTTATCGAAGAGACCAGAGCGTAGACCAAGACAACTTATAGAAGAGACAGAGAGTAGGACAAGCAACTGTTATAGAGAGACGAGAGGACCAAGACAACGTTCTAGAAGAGGACAGAGTTAATTATGGACCAAGACAAACGTTATAGAAGGCGACAGAGAGTAGGACCAGACAAAATGTTATTAGAAGAGACAGAGAGTAGGGATCCAAGACAATGTTATAGAAGAGACAGAGTTATAGTAGGCCAAGACAAAAGTTATAGAAGAGACAGAGAGTAGCGGACCAAAGAAAAAAGTATAGAAGAGACTAGAGAGTAGGACCAAGAACAACTGGTATGAAGAGACAGAGTTAGGAACCTAAGACAACTGTTTATAGAGAGACAGAGTATAGTAGGACCAAGACAACTGTTTAGAAGAGACAGGAGTAGGACCAATGACAACTGTATAGAAGAGACGAGTATGGACCAAGCCAACGGTATAGAAGAGACAGAGAGTAGGAACAAGACAACGTTATCGAAGAGACAGAGAGTAGACCAAAGAAATGTTATAGAAGAGACAGAGAGTGACCAAGACAACTGTTATAGAAGAGGACAGAGAGTAGACCAAGCAACTGTCTAGAAGAGACAGAGAGTAGGACCAAGACAACTGTTATAGAAGAGACAGAGTAGGACCAAGACAACTGTTATAGAAGAGACAGAGTAGGACCAAGACAACTGTTATAGAAGAGACAGAGAGTAGGACCAAGACAACTGTTATAGAAGAGACAGAGTAGGACCAAGACAACTGTTATAGAAGAGACAGAGTAGGACCAAGACAACTGTTATAGAAGAGACAGAGAGTAGGGCCCAAGACAAATGTTATAGAAGAGACAGAGGTTAGACAAGACAACGTAAGAAGAGACAGGTAGGACCAAGACACTGTTATAGAAGAGCAAGTTAGGACCAAGACAACTGTTATCGAAGCGACAGAGTAGGACCAAGACAAATGTTCTAGAAGAAGACCCCGGAGTAGGACCAAGACAACTGTTATAGAAGAGACAGAGAGTGGACCAAGAACACAGTTAAGAGAGACAGAGTAGACCAAGGACAACTGTTAAGAAGAGGACAGGTAGGACCAAGACAACTGTTATAGAAGGACAGAGTAGACCAAGACAATGTTATAGAAGAGACAGCGAGTAGGGACCAAGACAACTGTTATAGAATCGACAGAGGAGTCGGGACCAAGGACAACGTTTATAGAGAGAAAGAGTAGACAAGACAACTGTTGATAGAGAGACAGAGAGTAGGACCAAGACAACTGTTATTAGAAGAGAAGAGAGTAGGCAAGAACAACTGTCATAGAGGAGACAGAGTAGGACCAAGCAACTGTTATAGAAGAGACAGCGTAGGACCAAGACACTGTTATAGAAGAGACAGAGTTCTAGTAGGCCCAAGACAAATCTGTTTAGAAGGGACAGCGAGAGGACCAAGAAACAACGTATGAAGAGACAGAGTAGACAAGACAAACTGTTATAGAAGAGACAGAGTAGAGTAGGACCCAGACAAACTGTATGAAGAGAAGAGTTTAGTAGGACCAAGGACAATGTTATAGAAGAGACAGCGAGAGGACCAAGACAACTGGTATAGAAGAGACCAGAAGTGTAAAGACAAGACAACTGTTATAGAAGAGGACAGCGTAGGACCAAGACACTGTTATAGAACGAAGACAGAGAGTAGACCAAGACAATGTTATAGAAGAGACAGAGTAGGACCAAGACAACTGTATAGAAGGAGACAGAGTAGACCAGGACAATGTTATAGAAGAGACAGAGAGTAGGCCCAAGAAAAGTTATAGAAGAGACAGAGAGTAGGACCAAGACAACTGTTATAGAAGAGACAGAGTAGGACCAAGACAACTGTTATAGAAGAGACAGAGTAGGACCAAAGACAACTGTTATAGAAGAGACAGAGAGTAGGACCAAGACAAATGTTATAGAAGAGGACAGAGTATGGACCAAGACAAAGTTAACAAGAGACAGAGTTATAGTAGGACCAAGACAACTGTTATAAGAGACCAGAGAGTAGGACCAAGACATAACGTTATAGAAGAGACAGAGAGTAAGGACAAGACAAGATAGGAAGAGACGAGAGTAGGACAAGGACAAACTGTTATCGAAGAGACAGCGTAGCGACCAAGACAACTGTTATAGAGAGAAGAGAGAGGACCAGACACGTTATAGAAGAGACAGGGTAGGACCAAGACAACTGTTATAGAAGAGCAGGTGACCAAGACAAACGTTCTAGAGGAGACAGAGATAGGACCAGACCAACTGTTATAGAAGAGACAGAGAGTAGGTGAACAAGACAACGTTATAGAAGAGAAAGAGTGGACCAAGACAAATGTTATCCGAAGGAGACAGAGTAGGACCAAGACACTGTTATAGTAAGAGACAGAGTTTATAGTAGGACCAAGCAACTGTTATAGAAGAGACAGAGAGTAGACCAAGACAAACTGTTAATAGAAGAGGACAGAGTAGGACCAAGACACTGATAGAAGAGGACAGAGTTATGTAGGACCAAGAAAACTGTATAGAGAGAAGAGTTATAGTAGGACCAAGACAACCTGTGATAGAAAGACAGAAGAGTAGGATCCAGGACCAACTGTTAAGAAGCGACAGAGTCGACCAAGACACTGTTATAGAAGAGAGCAGAGTAGGAACAGACAAATGTTATGAAGGACGAGAGTAGGACCAAGACAACTGTGATAGAAGAGAAGAGTCGGATCAAAGACACTGTTATAGAAGAGACAGAGTAGAACCAAGACCAACTGTTAAGAAAGAGACAGAGAGTAGGGACCCCCACGGACAATGTTATAGAGAGACAGAGAGTAGGACCAAGACAACTGTTATAGAAGAGACAGAGAGTAGGACCCAAGAAATGTTATGAGAACAGGAGTAGACCACGGACAATGTTATAAAGAGACAGAGTTATAGTAGGACCAAGACAACTGTTATAGAAGAGACAGAGAGTAGGACCAAGACAACTGTTATAGAAGAGACAGAGAGTAGGACCAAGACAACTGTTATAGAAGAGACAGAGAGTAGGACAAGACACACGTTTATAGAGGGACAGAGTTATAGTGGACAAGAAATCTGTTATAGAAGAGACAGAGAGTAGGACCAAGACAATTTATAGAAGAGACAGCGTTATAGTAGGACCAAGACAACTGTTATGAAGAGCCAGAGAGTAGCCCAGACACTGTTATAGAAGAGACAGAGAGTAGGACCAAGACAACTGTTATAAAGAGACAGAGAGTAGGACCAAGACAACTGTTATAGAAGAGACAGAGAGTAGGACCAAGACAACTGTTATAGAAGAGACAGAGTTATAGTAGGACCAAGACAACTGTTATAGAAGAGACAGAGAGTAGGACCAAGACAACTGTTATAGAAGAGACAGAGGAGTAGGCCAAGGGGACAACTGTATAGAAGAGACAGAGAGTAAGCCCAAGACAAAAAGTAGGAGAAGAGACAGAGTTATAGTAGGACAGTAAGAACCACAAACCAATGGAGGGAGGACACAAAATTGTCAGAACACCACAGTAATACGTTGCTTAGTCTGAACACTGTTAGGGCTTGGTTATGGTAGTAGAGGTGGTTACCTGTGGCTAGGGTAAAGCAGCTCTCTGCTCTCCTGTAGTCCTCTGTGTTTCTCCTCCTCTGAAAACCTCTCCACCTCCTCCTGGGCTCTCCTCTCCTCTTCCTCCTCCTCCTCTCTCCTCCTGCGGCGCTGTAGTTTAGCGTTCTGTTTGTTCATCCTGTTCTCCAGCACTGGCAGCAACCCATCTGCCTGCAACCATGCTGCGAACGGACAAGAACTTGGCCCCCAGCTCAGAAGATCAGAACAACACATCTACCCACACAATGAGAGAGGAGAGAGAGAGAGAGAGAGAGAGAGAGAGGAGAGAGAGAGAGAGAGGAGAGAGAGAGATGAGAGAGAGAGAGAGCGATAGGAGGAGAGGAGAGAGAGAGAGAGTGGTATGTAGGAGGTGTTTTGTCGTTTACGAGGAGGAGGAGGAGAGGAGGAGACACGATGGGGAAGAGAGAGGCCGAGAGGGAGATAGGGAGATGAAGCCGAGAGACCTAGAGCGTAGGTAGTGAGGGGAGAGGGAGGAGAGGAGGGGAGGATGAGAGAGAAGGCGGAGGAGAGAAGAGAGGAGAGAGAGGAGGGGAAGTTGGAGAGGATGACGAGCGAGAGAGGAGAGCCGAGAGAGAGAGAGAGAGAGAAGAGGAGGCGAGAGAGAGAGAGACAGAGAGAGGACAGAGAGAGACAGAGACAGGAGAGAACAGAGGAGAGAGCCAGAGAGAGGAGAGGATAAGCTAGAGAGAGAGAGAGAGAGAGAGCGAGCGTAGAGAGAGGAGAGAGGGGAGAGTAGGAGAGAGAGATGTAGAGAGAGAGCAGCCAGTGTCAGGAGGAGGGGTGCTGCCCAGAGAGAGAGAGAACACACACACCAAACGAGGTAATATACAGGATCCTTGCATAGGGTACAAAATGTTGAACACCCTTCATAATATTGAGTTGCACCCTTTGGCTCAGTCGGGGCTAGGACTCTACAAGGTGTCGAAGCGTCCACAGGGATTGCTGGCCAAGTGATCATGCGTCAATAGAGTGTCAAGTGGCTGGATGTCCTTGGGTGGTGTTAGACATATCTGGAACACACAGGAAATGTGAGAGTGAAAACCCAGAAAAGTTGCAGGTCTTGACACACAACAAACCGGTGCGCTGGGCACCTACTACAATACCCCGCTCCAAATGCACTTAAAATATTTGGTCTGCCCCTCACCTCCGGAATGGGCACACAATTCATGGCACCTGGATTCACCTGGTCAGTCTGGTCTGGAAAGAGAGGTTTTCCCAATGTTTTTTAAAAAAGCGTTTTTGCTCAGTGAGCCCTTCTGTTCTCACCGTAGGGAATCTTCCCCGTGGCCGTCTGTCTCTTACCTGAGTAGGTTTTCTTCCCCAGTGAGGCCGTCTGTCTCTCTACCCAGTAGGTAATTTCCCCGGGCGTCGTCTCTCTATGAGTAGGTAATCTTCCCCAGGAGGGGCCCGTTTTCTCCTACGAGTAGGTAATCTTTCCCCGTGAGCCTGTCTGTCCTTCCACCGAGTAGGTATTCTTCCCCATGACCTGTCTTTTTTAAACCGAGAGGATATCTTTTCCCCGTGAGCCTGTCGTCTCTCTACCTGAGTAGGGAATCTTCCCCCGTGGCCTGTCGTTCCTACCTAGAGGATAAAACTTCCCCAGTGAGCCGTCGTCTCTTAAATGAGAGGGGTATCTTCCCCCGTACCCCGTTGTCCTCTAACCCCAGTAGGTATATCTTTCCCCCCTGAGCCTGCTGTCTTCTAAAACCAGAGGATATCTTCCCCCCGTGACCCGTCTGCTCCTACCAAAAAGGTATATTTCCCCAGTAGCCTTTGTCTCCTACCCCCGTAGGGGTATCTTCCCCCCGTGAGGCGTTTCTCTCTACCCCCCGTGGATATTCTTCCCCGTGACCGGTTTTTTCTCTACCCGAGTAGGATATTTTCCCCCAAGCCGTTGTCTCCTACCCGAGTAGGGAATCCCCCAGGGGCCTTTCTGTCTCTCTACCCATAGGTATATCTTCCCCGTGAGCCTGTCTTCTCTCTACCCAGTAGGGGATTCTTCCCCCCCTGACCGTTGTTCTCTACCTGAGTAGGGGATATCTTCCCAGTGAGCTGCGTCTCTCTACCTGGTAGGGATACTTCCCCTGGCCTTCTGTCTCTTACCCGGTAGGGAAATTTTTCCCCAGTGACCTTCGTCCTCTACCTGGTAGGTATATTTTTCCCCCGTAGCCCCTCTGTCCTTACCCGGTAGGTAAACTTTCCCCTGAGCCTGTCGCTCTTAAACCCCATAGGTATCTTCCCCGTAGCTGTCTGCTTCTACCCGAGTAGGTATTCTTCCCCCCTGAGCCTGTCTGTCTCCCTACCTGAGAGGAATCTTCCCCATGAGCCTGTCTGTCTTTACCTGTTGGGATTTTTCCATGGCCTGTCGTCCCCTCTACCTGATTTGTAAATCTTCCCCAGGAGCCTGTCGTCTCTTACCCCGAGTAGGTAAATCTTCCCCCCGTGAGCCTGTCTGTCTTCTACCGAGGGGGATATTTTCCCCCGTGAGCCCCTTTTTCTCTCTACCCAGTAGGGATTCTTCCCCAGTGACCTGTCTGTCCTTACCTATAGGTATATTCCCCCATGACCTGTCTGTTTTACCAGTGGTATATCTCCCCATTTAGCCGTTGCCTCTAGATAGGTATATCTTCCCCAGTGGGCCTTCTGCCTCTACCCCCCTTAGGGGTATCTTCCCCAGTGAGCCTGTCTGTCTCTCTACCTGAGTAGGTATATCTTCCCCAGTGAGCCTGTCTGTCTCTCTACCTGAGTAGGTATATCTTCCCCGTGGCCTTCTTCTCTTACCTATAGGTATTCTTCCCCCGTGACCTGTCGGCTTCACCAGTAGGGATATCTTCCCCAAATGAGCTGTCGTCTCTCTACTTTGGGTGTTATTTCCCCAGTGGCCTGTCTTTTCTTACCTGAGAGGTATTCTTCCCCCGTGAGCCTGCTGTCTCTCTTCCTAGAGGTAATTTCCCCGTGAGCTGTCTGTCTCTCTACCTGAGAGGATTCTTCCCCAGTGGCCTGTCTGTTCTTAACCCTATAGGTTATTTCCCCGTGGGGCCCGTTGTCTCTCTACCTGAGAGGGTTATTTCCCCGTGAGCCCCTGTCTCTCTACCTGAAATGGTATATCTTCCCCAGTAGCCGTCTGTCTTCAGAGTAGGTTAAACTTCCCCCAGTGAGCCTGTCTGTCTCTCTACCTGAGTAGGTATATCTTCCCCAGTGAGCCTGGCGTCTCTCTACCCGAGTGGTTTTCTTCCCCGTGGCCTCTTCTCTCTACCCCAGTAGGTAATCTCCCCAGTGAGCCTTCTGTTCTCTACCTGAGTGGTATATCTTTTCCCCATGAGCCGTTGTCTCCTACCAGAGGTATTCTTCCCCAGGAGCCGTCTGTCCTGTGTACCTTGAGCCTCTCTAGCTAGGATTCCCTCCCCTCCCGGTTGTTTTCCTCCTGGGGGGATTTACCAGGGCCGGGGGGGGGAGCTTTAAAAACCCAGTGGGGGAACCCCCGGACCCGCCCCCAAAAAAGTGGGGGGAACTCCAATGGGTGGGGGGGGGCCTTTTTTTCACTAAGAAATTACCAAAGGCCCCAGTGAGACCTCAAAGAAACAGCCCAATTACCCCCCCATTTTGACCCGAATCATGACCAAATTAAAGGTAGTGGAAAACCTCAAAAACAGCCCCCAGATTCCAGCCCCTGGGGGGGAAATCAAATAAAGAAGATTACCAAGGCCCAGTGTAGACCGTCAGATAACAGCACCAGATTACCAGGTCCCATGTAGACCTCAGAGATAACAGCACCAGATTACCAGGCCCAGTGTATACCTCAGAGATAACAGCACCAGATTAACCAGGCCCAGTGTAGACCTCAGAGATAACAGCACCAGATTACCAAGGCCCATGTAGACCTCAGAGATCAGCACCATATTACCAAGGCCCAGTGTAGACCTCAGAGATAACACACCAGATTACCAAGGCCCAGTGTAGACCTCAGAGTAACAGCAACCAGATTACCAAGGCCCAGTGTAGACCTCAGAGATAACAGCACCATATTCCAAGGCCCAGTGTAACCTCAGAGATAACAGCACAGATTCCAAGGCCAGTGTAGACCTCAGAGATAACAGCCCAGTGTAGACCTCAGAGATAACGCACCAGATTACCAAGGCCCAGTGTAGACCTCAGAGATAACAGCCCAGTTGTAGACCCCAGAGATAACAAGCACCATATACCAAGGCCCATGTAGACCTCAGAGATAACAGCACCAGATTACCAAGGCCCAGTGAAGACCTCAAGATAACAGCACATATTTACCAAGCCCAGTGTAGACCTCAGAGATAACAGCACCAGATTAGCCAAGGCCCAGTGTTAAGACCTCAGAGATAACAGCACCAGATTACCAAGGCCCAGTGTAGACCTCAGAGATAACAGCACCAGATTACCAAGGCCCAGTGTAGACCTCAGAGATAACAGCACCAGATTACCCACGGCCAGTGTAGACCTCAGCAGATAACAGCACCAGATTACCAAGGCCCCATGTAGACCTCAGAGATAACAGCACCAGATTACCAAGGCCCATGTAGACCTCAGAGATAACAGCACAGATTACCAAGCCCAGTGTAGAACCTCAGAGATAACACACCAGATTACCAAGGCCCAGTGTAGACCTCAGAGATAACAGCACCAGATTACCAAGGCCCAGTGTAGACCTCAGAGATAACAGCAACCAGATTACCAAGGCCCAGTGTAGACCTCAGAGATAATCAAGGGGGACAAACCAGATTACCAAGGCCCAGTGTAGACCTCAGAGATAACAGCACCAGATTACCAAGGCCCAGTGTAGACCTCAGAGATAACAGCACCAGATTACCAAGGCCCAGTGTAGACCTCAGAGATAACAGCACCAGATTACCAAGGCCCAGTGTAGACCTCAGAGATAACAGCACCAGATTACCAAGGCCCAGTGTAGACCTCAGAGATAACAGCACCAGATTACCAAGGCCCAGTGTAGACCTCAGAGATAACAGCACCAGATTACCAAGGCCCAGTGTAGACCTCAGAGATAACAGCACCAGATTACCAAGGCCCAGTGTAGACCTCAGAGATAACAGTGCCAGTCCAATTTTAATGGATAAGGCCAAAAACAC